GAGTTTGACACACTGCCAGATGCGTCAGAAAGGGCCGCGAGGCGGCATGAGGACCTTATGTTTGAGGAGAATGACTGGGATTGGGATTGGAACGAACCCAAGGTGGAGTATCGTGACCACATGGCCGCAGCAAACCAGAGCATAGAGGAGGATCTCAGCTTTTGGGGCCCACCGAGGGGGTTAATCCCCGCACAGCTGTCTAGTGAGAGTGCACCCGAGTCGTACGCATTCTGTGCGGACGATAAACGGAAACAAGAGGGTCCACCACCATTCACAGCCGAATGGACATTCGTATGTGCGAACGTCCAACGCAGTGCGCACAATACAACTGTGCTCTTAGAGAGGTTCAGAGATGCGGACTTTATATTAGTCCAAGAGATATTTTGGGGCCAGATTAAGACTGTGGCGTCAGCTAGCGACAAAGCTGGGATGCCATACCACAATACAATAGCCCACCGAAACTTTATGGCACTCGGAGCGAGCAGTGAGTCTTCGGTGTGCACCTATGTGAACCGGAAGTGGGAGGCTCTCATGCCCCGCGTCCGGGATGATTTAATTCGGCACAAAGACGTGTGCTGCGTTGGGATTTCCACTGCAGTGGGTCAGATGGTGGTGCTCAATGTATACAATCACCCGGATACACGGGCTGCCTTGAGGGAAGTCGCGGATCGGCACGACCGACTACCTCCAGTACTGGTAATGGCCGGAGACTTCAACCTCCATCACCACAGGTGGGGGAAGTCATCGCGGGAATACCAGGCCGCTATCAGACGGGATGCTGTTCATGCTGACACGCTCCTGGAATGTGCAGCGGACTTAGGACTCGAGCTCCTCAACGACCGACGAGAGGCCACATGGAGGTCCCATGACCCATCAAAGCACGAGCAGGTCCTTGACCTAGTATGGGCTGCCCAAACGGAGACCATTGCTCATCAGAATCTAAAGATCCACATGAGCGAGAGAACCGATAGTGATCATGCACCTATCTCGTGGACAACAGCGGTGCAAACGGCCAGCTGGTCAATGCCCATGAGCATTAAGCGCGATACTGAGTCGTACTTAAATTATCTTGCAGAAATCAGTCATGGCCTGTCACGACTGAACACCGACCTTCGTTGTAAGGAGGACGTAGCTGAGCTCGGCAGAGCCATGTTCGAAGTGCTGAACACAGCGTGGTATAACCATGCAAAGGTCCCGAACGTGAACAAACGGTCCAAAACGTGGTGGTCTCGGGAGTGCTCCTCGGCAGCCAGGGCACTCCGGAAGGCCCATAAGCTTCCCCTCACAGACCCGCAACGGAGAACCACCATTCTACGCTGCTCTGCGGCGCTGAAGTCATCAGTGAGACGCGCTAAGCGTACATTCTTTGACAAAGTGATCACAAGCACTCACCAATCCAAAATCTGGGACTTGGTTCGATGGACAAAGCCACGACCCGACAGTGCCCTTTTCCACGCTTTGTAAGCCGGATGGGGAGTCGGCGGCCACCAAAGATGACATATTCGAAGTCTTTAGCAGCGCGTTCTTCCCGACGCTGCCAAACCCAAGCGATGAAGCACTTGTGGACTCATATCCACAGCTTCCCGAACGTGAAATGTCAACAATAAGTATCGCAGAGTTATTCGATCAGCTCCGCGATACACCTAATCAGTCGGCACCCGGTCTTGACCACTGTGGGTGGGCTGCGTTAAAAACAGTGCTCCGAGCACCGAAGGTGATGCCTGTAATACAGGCTCTTGCTAACGCGTGTCTGGAATACGCAGTTTGGCCCGATGTGTTTAAAGAAAACATCACGGTTGTTATCCCTAAGCCGGGAAAGGATGATTACAGCAGGGCGAAGTCGTACCGACCAATAGTGCTACTTAACTGTGTGGGCAAGCTTATCGAAAAGGTACTGGCCAAACGACTTCAGTTTGAAGCTCAGAAGCATGGGATTATGCACCCGAATCAATTCGGTGGCACCATGCAGCACTGTACAACAGATGCAGGGGTATTGCTAGTACACCAGGTTAAGCAGGGGTGGCGGCGCGGGCTCGATACGTCTGCAATATTGTTTGACGTCGCGCAGTTCTATCCATCCATAAACCACAATTTGTTTGTCCGTACGTTACGCAAACAGGGGTTCGCGAGCAAGTTGTGCGACTTCTTTGCGGACTACCTAGCGGGTCGGAAAACACGCATTAGATTTCAGAAGAATCTATCCGAGACGATAGACACACCTCTAGGAGTCGGACAGGGCTCGGCGTTATCGCCTGTGGTGTCGGGCCTCTACATCGCCCCAATCCTCCACAGATGGGCACCGATCCACGAGAAACAATTTGGGAACACCACCTTGCAATTCTACGTGGATGACGGATTAATCGCTGTCTCAACGGACAGCCTGATGCTTAATAATGCCATCATTGCCCACGTATACCGCGACGTGGCTGGCGACCTTCGACGCTTGGGCCTAAGGGTGGAGGAATCGAAGTTCGAGTTAATTCACTTTCGGAAGGGAAGAAAGGGTTGGACGGACACTCACCCGCTCGGCCCACCAATTGCGCTCGAGGAAGGACCTGGACAGTTTGCCAGGATTGAGCCGTCGCCATCTATTAGATATCTCGGGTTTTTCTTGGACCCCAAACTGTCGTTCAAGGAACACATTCGGCGCTCTGTTAACAGAGCAATGAGTACGATACACGCGCTGCGGATGCTGGGGAACTCTACACGAGGGCTATCCCCGATTCATAAGCGACGGCTTTACATATCCAACGTGCTTCCTATCCTGAGTTACGGGTTGCCACTATGGTGGCGCCTTAACTGGAGAGGTCAGAAGTACGCCCTGAGGCAGATGAGTACAGTGCAAGCGGCGGCGGCACGCTGGATCACTGGGGGATTCCGAACGACGCCGACTGGTGCACTGGAGATAATGGCCGGGCTGGTACCTGTACGATATCAATTTGATAAGTTCATGAAGAGGTGGGGACTTCGGGTGCGCACGTTGGACTCCTCGCACTCCATCCGGGCCTCAATGGCCCCATACTGGAAGATTAACCAGTACGCGATTACAGCCCCATTCCCTCTCAGCGGGAAGGGGGAGGCCGATGCATGCACACCACTCACATACTTTGACCGATTCGGGCGAGCCTCGAACGAAGAATTTGCGGTCCTCCATGAGGAGAACCAAAGCGGCACTCGAATTCGCGATTTATACGGGGACCGCATCCGGTACCACCTGAAGCCGCAAGGCATAAGCAAGGGTTCGGACGAATTCTATGAGTGGCTGGACTCAACTTTCTATCCCATGTTCCGACAGGTAGTGTCATCGCCAGCGGCCTTGGCGGTGTTCTCCGACGGGTCTCTTCAGAAGAAGAAGCCAGGAGTATGGCGCACGGGTGCGGCATTTGTCGTGACTCGTCGAAGTCGCGTGCTGCGGACAGGCAAGGCAGGTTGCGGGCGGGTCTCCGCGTTCGATGCCGAGATGATGGGCATCTGCATGGGACTCTGCGCTGCAGTCAGTGAGGCCAGGGAGTACTTGGTCACGGACTTACACATTTTCTGCGATAATGAGGCGGCGCTGAACGCCATTCTGGACCCAGGACTGCATTCGTCGCAGATGCAGTCCATTCTCTCATGCCAAAGGGTGAGGGGGTTCCTTGAGCAACATGAGTCCCACACGATTCATCTTCACTGGATGCCAGCGCATATCGGTTTTGAGCCGAGCGAGTTCGTCGATGAGGCGGCCAAGGAAGCGGCCAACCGCGGGTACACAGCACAGGATGCAGAACAGTATCCTCGTGAGGATGACTTGAGGGAGTATAGAGACAGAGTCCACCCTTCATCAGTGTCGATGTCATGGGCGCGATCACGCACCGTAACAGTAATGATGGGCGCATGGAGAAAGGATATCTCCCGGCCAGACTACAGAGGTCATCAGTTCGAGCTTCCAAAGAAAACATTAAAAGGGGGAATCTCCCACATTGCTAAGCAGCATTTCGCCCTGAAGAATGTGGGGCATGATGCCAGTCGCATGGCGCGGCTCACGAGAGTGCTGACAGGGCATGCGCCTATCGGCGCATACCGGGCAAGGTTCAACTTACCTGGTCCTGCAGAGTGTGCGTGCGGGGCCGCATCCCAGACGCGCGAGCACCTATTGTTTGAGTGTAGACTGTGGATCCCGTTTCCACAACAGAGGCGGCGTCGGCGCCCTTCGCACCTGGACAGATTGGACCCATTCCCGAAGCTACTAGACTGGTGGCTGCGCATGAATCCACTAGCCTTCTCCTTTGAGATGGGGGAGTGGTACACCAAGGCGGCGGCGGAAGCCACGCTCGACGGACAGCAGCATCCGCATCTAAGATTGCTCTGTCAGAACACAGTCCAGAGGAAACACGCTTATGAGACATACCGGAAGTGGGGTGCGCGACACGATTGCGCTGACGTGGAGCGAGCTCTTGCGTACCGTTGGGAGAACGACCCAAACCACTTCCATTTCCCCGCTTGCACCCTCCAGGCGCTTCAGGACGTTCTCGCGCGTCACAACACAAGGCCGCAGGTGCCACCGTCGTCAACCCAATCACTCAACTCCGTGAACTCTAGGACGTGACAACTAGTGTACGGGACCGCACATGTAGCCATAGTAGGTACGCGGTATATAAAAGACCAGAACCAAAAAAAAAAAAAAAAAAAAAAAAAAGAGTTATAGTTAGCCAAGATATTCGGGTTATTTGCTGTTATTTATCTGCAGCCTTGTCCGCCTTCCGGAAACGGCAACCGAGAAGCATGGTACCAAGTGACGAGAAGCAATATTAGGCGCCATAAAGCGCTATACCCAAGTTGTTGAAGTGAAAAGAACATAACCTACACATGAATAGAAAATTTGCCACTAAATACCGGCCCAGATCACCAGAAAATATGCTGGAAAGGGAAGAATAATACGCAACTGCGACCTCTGAGGACACGCGCATTCTGGGTAAGAAAAAAGGGACATTGAGCAGCCTCGAGAGGTGTGACAAAAAGAGCGACGCCAGCAGGATTCGAACCTGCGCCCTCAAAGAGGAACAGATAGTCGTTGAAGTGGAGTCACGTGACCCGGATCAAATTCTAATCTGTCGCTGTAACCGCTTAGCTATGGCGCCGTGATTGTTCTAGATTCCTTACTATACATGTTGCAAAGCACCTCTGAAGATTCGGGAGATGACCATATTTTGTTTTGGCGCTCATGTGTGATCAGGATGATCGGCTTTTACATCTCTCTGAAGTGCAGCTGAACTGCTATCATACCTGTCCTGCTTTTAACGTCTAGAGACGTCTCTCGTTCTGCCTCTGATGAATCGACTGACTATTTACACTCTTGCGGCAGTAATTTGGAGCTATGTGATGTCCAGAAGGCTCGGCGGTGGGCAGGACAGGGAGTGCGAGAAGTGGGTTAGTAGTTTGGTAAGGATGCGTAGCAAGTAACTTGTTGGAGGCTACAATTCGGAGTGTGAGGAGGCATATCAGTATTGGCTCGTCGGCATTTGTCGGGGTGGAGGAGTCTGAACCAACAGAGGGTTAGCAGTTGGCAAGTGTTCCAGTCTACCCTTCCACTCATCCTCGCAGCTCGGCAATTGGAGTAGCTGACAACTACTACATGCCACAGATGCCGACGATGCCGCGTCGTCGATGCGCGAGATTCCATGTGGAACTGAACTCACCACCATTCTCCAACTTCCAGCCAAGGTAACGATTGACGTCACAGTCCTCCTCTCATCACATTCATAGCAGAGTCCACCCACAGCCTAGTCATCGACCACCATGGCCTCTGTCCTCAAAAACTCGCGTAGTCTCCGTACAGGCCTACCCGGTGCAACCCGCACGTTCTCTTCCTCTTCTCACCGCTCTTCCTTGCCGTTCGCGTTCCTCCCTTCCAACTCCCTTGACCCCAAGCACAGCCGCCGTCAGAAGGGCATCACGGAGATCAGGGGCCCGTACTACGCCCCGGTCACGAAGACGTACCTGGACGAACTCCTGAGCGATTGGGGCGAATACGTCGACGGAGTCAAGTTCGCCGGTGGCGCGTTCTCGTTGATGCCGGAGGACAGACTCAAGGGTTTGATCGAGGTCGCCCATAAGCACAGTGAGTTTGGTATATATCGTAAGGTTCTGGGAGGGAGTTGAGTTCTGTGTAGACTGCTATGTCAGTACCGGCGGTTTTATTGAGCGCGTTCTGTCCGCGTCAGCTGGAAACAAGGATGTTGTTTCTAAATATCTCACTACCTGTAAGAATATGGGGTGCGTCTTTCTCCCATACTTACACACACCATTGCTCACCTATTCGTTTGAAGTTTTGACGTGTTGGAAATCTCGTCTGGCTTTCTGTCCATCCCGACCGATGACTGGGCTTCCCTCATCGAGTTCACCGCTAAGCACGGGTTAATGCCCAAGCCCGAGGTCGGCATCCAGTAAGTGCTTGGTTTATCCAATCAAGCCTCTGCTCAGACACTCACCGATATCCTTTAGATGGGGTGCAGGAGGCGACGCGAGTATCGAAGAACTCGAATCCGCAGGGACCCGAGACCCGAAATGGCTCATCGACAGAGCGAACTTGTTCTTGCAAGCCGGCGCACATGTGCGTTCTTCTCAGATACCCCGCTGCCATACCGCTAATCGCTGACCGTGCGGCCGCTTTAGATGATCATGATTGAAAGCGAGGGGATTACTGAGAACGTCAAGTCCTGGCGCACCGATGCGATCAGCGCCATTACCTCTGCCCTCCCTGCGGAGAAGATCATGTACGTCCGTCTTCTATCCCTCTGCAATATACGTTTCTCGTTTTGACTCTGATATTTAACCCTTTCTCTTTCGTTCTAGGTTCGAAGCCGCAGACCCAGACGTCTTCGCATACCACATTCAAAACCAAGGTGCACGTGCGAATCTGTTCATCGACCATTCGCAGATCGTGCAGCTGGCGTGCTTAAGGAAGGGGATCTGGGGGACGGGAGGTACGTTTGCGAGGGTGGTTACATTCGAGGGAGCACAGAAGTAAAGAAGAGAGGTCAAGGTAAAAGGATCGGTGTATGTAGCTATAGGATTCCACGAGGCTGGACGTTTGCTGCGATGTACTTATATGTTTGTTCTGGTCGTAAAGTCATGATGGATCATTATTCCGTGCTGTGAGCTGACGGAAAATCACGGTAGGAAGTATATACATGAGAGTGAACGAAGTCGAGTAACAAATAATGCAGGTGTCGTGATGGTGATCGTTCAAAGCCGCGGTGGATCACTCAGTATCGACCTTGAACTCGGCCTGGAAGGTGTTTCCGTGCACAAGGTGCAAAGCGACGAGAACCAAGTCTTCTACGCGCCATCTCCCAGCTGGGGCCACAGTCCAAGCCTTCTGAGTCGGGAGGCAGTGTGCGCTTTGCAGAGTCTGGACACGGGTCGTCAATGAGCGTTCAGCTATGAGGGAAAGGTAGGAGGGACATACGGTGAAGTACTGCTTGACGGTTCTGACGATGAAGAGCGCGAGTTGGCCACGGGTGACGCGCCCGCCGACGCCCCGCAAAGGGACGGAGGTCACGAATTCTACATGTTCATATCCGGGCCACTATGTTCCAGAGAACTGCGTCAGGATTATCTTGATTATGACCGAAACAAAAGGAAGGCGGGAGACGCGTACCAGGATACGCAGGTACGCCCTCGACGCGTCTTTGAACACCTTCTCGCCGGCGTCCACGATCACATCGCCGACGGTCCCCGCCGCGTTCGGGTACACGTTCTCGTCGAGGTACGCTAACGGAACGCCGGTGCTGATCTTCCCGTCCCTGGGGTTCACGAACCGGAAGGCGATCGGGTCGAATGGATAAAGTCCGTCTCGGTCGTCGGCGGAGGACGTGCGCGGGACCCATTGGGCTTGGGGGACGGGGTATAGTTTCGTGTAGGAGCGGGCGAGGGGACGAGGGCGGGCGTGGGAGGGAGACATTCTGTTTGCGTTGGGGAGGGCTTATGTGTTGGATGTTTCGAGTGCGGGATGGATGGGATGGAGAAAGGAGCGTTCGAGGAGGGCCGCATTATATCTGTGTTGCCCAGTGTTAGCAAAGCGTAAGGGTTGTACAAACCGTTTGGCCATCCGGATAGCCGCGTATTGTCGGCCAAAGCGAAGGGATAAAGCGCCGTATTGTCTCGGGTGAAAATCTTGAAACTCCGCGTAGCGGTTCAGATCAAAGCACCGTCCAGCTCTGGGGTATGATTAGGTCCGGGAGGGAGGTAGACTGAGATAAAAAATGAGTGTCGTGGAATTGAACGGAGAGTTGATAAATGTTGAAGTTTGATTGAGAAATGAATGAGAGAGTGCATGGGTCATAGTTAAGCATCGTTCGTAGAAAGGTCAAGATCAGTTTTGGGTCGGTTTGATCTGCAATTACATTAGTGCATTGATCAAAGAGAAACCCAGAGGAAAGGATATGTACCGCTGCAGATCGTCTGTTGAGCAGAGTTATTTGATTTTGAACCTTCCCCCAAGCTTCCACGATGGCTTCATTGGCAAGGTCCTCGTCTCTAGTTTCTCCTTTGCAGCGATAGGGGCAGACCTGCTCAAGGCTAGGGAACAAAGAAATCAAACGCGCGGCGAGTAGATCTGGGGAGTCAACGACAGAGCACCCGACGCTGAGATAAACCAGAGTGTTGTTCAATTGTGCTCTGCGGGTCAAGGGAGTCTCGATGACGTCCACAAGGGATCCGTCGAAGGCAATGTCCAAATGCCTAAGGCGTGGACAACACCGTGATAGCGCCTCCAGACCACGAAGGGTAACCCGACTTGGAGTCACCCAGTGCTCTGTTGCCATGAATGCTAGGGTTTCGAGCCCCGGCCACGCGGAAGCCATGTCGCAGATCAGGCGGTCGTCGAGGTCCCAGAGCCAGTGCATATCGACAAGCAGGGACCGTAAAGACTTGGATAACGCAAGGAGTGGTCGGAGATGATCCGAGGAAATGCGAGCAGGCGGATCCGTTTCAAGGTGGTGATTTTCACTGTGCACTGCGAGCGTCGTGAAATGGATGTCTTTGAATGTGGGAGAAGTGATGGAACGGGCAATCGCGGAGAACAGGGCGGCTACGACGGTTTGGAGTGGCTGCTCGAAGTAGTAGCCTTCGAGGTTGAGCATGACACTTGTGAGAGAAGTGAAGGTGCACAATGAGAAGAGATCGACCATCTGTTGTATCTTGGGGAAGAAAATGTCGAGAGTGATGAGGGCCGAGAATGTGGTATGGAATGGGATGGGTAATATTTCAACGTCTGTCGATAATTCTAAATAGAGGTGTGTGAGATTGCGAAGCTGGTGGAGAGACTTCCAAATGGGCCGGAGGTTTATCGGAAAAGAGGTGTAAATCCATAGGCTTTGAAGGAGCGGCACCCCCTGGACAAGACGTCCTATGTCTTCAGCCTGAGATGGGGTGATCTCGGAATCAGACTCCTTCGCATCGATCATCAAGTTAGTTAAGGATGATGCGTTGGAATGAAGAAGGTGGATGATACACGGAGAAGGAGAACGTGTGAGGTTTAGCGAAGTGATGTTGCGGGATGTTGCTATGATAAACTGAGTCAGATTGGGGTGCTCGTCCTCGCCGAAGTGTTGCAGTTTTGGAAAAATGAGATGGGAAAGAAGGGAGTCGTCGAAACGAAACTTTCCGCGCAGCGAAGGGTGGGAGGAATACTCTCCAACGAGATGAAGGAAGAAGATTCTTGAAGAGTAGTACATCAGAACAGGGAGATCATCGGGGCTCAGGTCCCGTCGAATCTTCAAAGTATGGAGGGACACATTTCAGCACGGGCATAGTAGCAGTGGGGTTTTCAACACGTACCACTTCATAATTTGTCTCGTCGGACTCGTCGGACAAGAGTCCAACGATACCAAAAAGAGGGATGAGAGAGTATTGCAAACGCCAGAGAGCGTTGAGGCAGAGCTCGCGGAAAATTGTTGCGGTCCGTCTCAACGCCTTGATGTCTCTGTGCACGCGATAGTCCGAGCTTTTTACTCCATAATCCCAGCTTGCATTGCGATGGAACGAAGACTGATGGCCAACGACATGTGTGAAGATGTTGTCGAGAAGTTCTGCGACGAGGAAGACACGATGCATGTCTGTTGGAGATAGGGGGAAT